GCCGGGCTGGGGGAGCCCGGGGCGGGGAGGAGCACAGACGGAGCCCGGGGGGGTCCTGACCTGGAACCAGGGGTACCTAAGATCGGTGGTCAAAGAGACTCCTCACTCACATGTTACACGAGTTTATTTCTTCCCTAGCTGCCCTAAACGCGATGATTCCCATGACTTGCAGCACCAGCAGGCAAAGAGGCACCTTAGCTCTTCACCAAAGAGCCCAGAACCCCTGTAGATGTGACACAGCTGGCCCCTACGAGGTGATTTACCATTTGGGACTTGAAGAGGAGCACTTGGGATGTAGGGCGTGACCGCCTTCAAGAGAACAGGCTGCCCAGGGAAGCGGTTGAGTCGCCATCCCTGGAGGTATGAAAAGGTGTGTAGACATGGCGCTAAGGGACATGGTGTAGTGGTGGACTTGGCAGTGCTGGGTTAACGCTTGGACTCGATGATCTTAAAGGTCTTTTCCAACCTAAACGATTCTATGATAGCAATCTCATAACAGAGGAGAATTCCTTCTGACCAACCCCTCCCTGCAATTGTAAGCAGGAGCTGTATGAACTCTGGTAGCCTGGAAAAAGCTATCAGAGCCCTAAGATTTCTGATGGCTAAGGACAATGAATAAATCGAAAGGAAATTAACTTGGTTCACCCCAGGGTCAAAGAACCCTCCAGATGGTCACAATTAAGATGCCTCGAGAAGCCCCACTTCCAGCAGGGAGCCGACAGAGAAAGAGCTTCCCCACACCAACCCGGCCACAGCCGAGGGGAGAAGAGCTGGGGCTTTCAAAAGCAATTAGCAGGAACAACAACCCATCCTCCTCAGTTGTTCTGCTTCAGCCCTCCTGCACGGCTGCATGCTCCAGGAGGCAAGCTGCTATGGGGAATGCTCGCTTAATGACTGCCCACTTTAAAGCTGTTTTCTTCAGGAATTTTATCAGTTACTCAGTGTTCCTGGGCATTTCCTGCTTATCGCTCATTATTTACCTTGCCTCGAGGTAAAGCTAATACAGGAGCTAGCAGCAGGTATGCTTGCAGTTTTTCAGAAGGCGGGCAAAGAGGCAAGTGGTGGAGGCAAGGTCTGCTAGCATAAGAGGTCAAAGATGTACAGTGCAAGCGAGGCAGAAAAACTGTCGCCCTGCAGCGACGGGCAGCGACGGACACCCATCCCCAGAAACTGCGACACCCATCCCCAGAAACTGCGCTGGCCCAGCAGAGTGCAGCCTCTGGGTTTGGGTTTTTTTTTGTCTTCTCAGAAGCACTCGTTTCCGCGCAGGGATTTGCAGAATGCCGCTCACAGGCCCATGTAGAAAAATGACTCCAAATCTAAGAAACACCCCGGTGCACGGGCTGCAAGAGGCACCAAGGAATTTACATTCTTGAAAGGGTTTGCTGTGTTTGGTTTTTTTGGTTGGTGGTTTTGGGTTTTTTTTTTTGCAAGAGAGAGGAATACCAAGGGCAGGGCTCGGCCTTGGATCCCGGGCAGCAAGCCGCGATAGCACAAGGGCTGCTGGCAGCTCTCCGGCTGGGCTGTCGCGGTCGACGTGCACCCCGGGGCCTGCAGGACTGTTGCTATTTGGACATACACAGTAACCCCTAATACAAAAGGATCCAGCATACAAACAGTCCAAGAGATACCAGACTGGCTGTTAAACAACGGAACCTCACACTAACAGCATTGCAAGTAGATTCTAGGATATATTTCTAAAATCTGTCACAACGGGGTTAAATAAAGGAAGAAGGTTGGTATTTGGTGAAGAAGCAATACCTTGCCCTCCTCAGATGTTTTATAATCTTGCAGAATCATGCTCCTTATTTTTTTGCAGGTGGAAAAATCGAGCTGTGGGAAATGAGAGCAACTTCCCAAGGAAACAGCCCCGGAGCCCCCCGTCCCGGTACAGCGTCCCATGGACTACACGGGTTTCCAAGAAGTGCTTAAGTGATCTGGGAATCCAAGGCACTGCTTCAAAGGTGACTTGTTACCTGAATTCTCGCTACTGGAGAGACTTACTGAACCTTCAGTTATCTAAATCGTATTTCAAATGTGGGTCATGGGAACCAGTCACCCAGTTACTTAGGCTGCTAATTGCCTCTTGCAATACCGGGAGGTGCACGCCTCCGGGCTGGGTTTAGTCCTGGCACTTGTGCTTTGTAAAGTTTCAGACCCTGACCTAAGATCTGTTCCTGGATGCCAAAAGATCTCCTGGTGACACCTGGTGCACAGCTCAGATTTCTGCATCTCTACAAGACTGTTTTAACTTTTATCCTTGACAGAATTGAAGGGGAAAATAGGGCACTTGGGAAAAATCATTTAGATTGATGGATGCAGAGAGAGGTGTGTGTATTTCATGATGTGTTCATAAACTCCTCAAAAAACCTGGAGTCCTGCTTTACCTGAGACATGGTTCTGGACTTCTCCAAATACACGAGAGCAAAGCATGCTATTCCCTCTGCTATCACAGCCGCTCAGGGCAGCCTCTTCCTCACAGCAGAGACATGGAGCCGTGAACATACATCTCATCGCACAGAGATGCTTGTGACCCCTCTGAAATGAAAGTCAGATCTCTTCCACAAGGCAGGAGCTTTGTCTTAAAGGCATCCATTTCTTTTCACATCTCAAGATGGGCACCGCTTCATTTATTTTAAAGCTCTGCTATCACAGCCGCTCAGGGCAGCCTCTTCCTCACAGCAGAGACATGGAGCCGTGAACATACATCTCATCGCACAGAGATGCTTGTTGCTTGTGTGCCCTGTGAGTTGGATGTCTTCTCTCTTGCAGGAGGTTTGTCTTAAAGGCATCCATTTCTTTTCACATCTCAAGATGGGCACTGCTTCATTTATTTTAAAGAAAAAAAAAACCAACCAAACACCACCAGAAATAAAACCACCCACAACCAAGCTTTCACGCATTGCCCCAGGGGGAATCTCATCCCCTGTGCTGCCCAGGGCAAACACTGCTGCACCATGCGCCTGTCGGAGAGAGGAATGCCCGCCCTGGCCTCCCAGCCTTGGTGGTCCTTTCAGACAAGGGTGGGTTTCTTCAAAGCAAACTGGGAAGCGGCTCTCCAACCCACCTCCCGCTGGATAAGGGGTTCTTCTCCCTTTCTGCTGGCCTTGTCTCCACCCCTCCCTGAAGGATTAAAATTAGCAATTCAGACTACGGACAGCAGGGGTTTATTTGTAGACAGTCAGCCAAGTATTTAGTTCTGTAAACATCTTAAGTAAATTCCTGCTGCCCCATTATCTCATCTTCATACTCCCTTACTGTTTTACTGCATTTATTTAAAAGGAAGTAAGAAAATGTATTAGAAGAATAGAAGTGGCCCAGGTTTTAAAGATAATTGTGGAGCTCCGAGTCCAAACTCGGAGGAGCTATTTCTTCACAAGATGGGCAAAGATTTTTACAGATAAACCAGACCTGCGTGTACCACGTACAAGATGGGCCAAATGCTAATCCTTGAGTAAGAAAAACCAGGCAGTGATAGGCAGAGTCCCTAAATTGTTTCTTAAACCTCCTAGTGTATCAAACTCAGCTGACCTTGCCCGTGGTACTTCTGCTTATCTACAAGCGTACAGCTTAACGTAGCACGTGTGGGAGAACCCCACAAAACCCCAGGGACCGCATCTAGCGACGACATTTGCACAGCTTGTTGTCTCGGGCCACGTGAAGACTGCCATCCAGTTTTGCTGCAAACATTTAAGTAGCACCTTAGAGAAACTCCTTGCAATTTTTTCAATAACCTGCCATTTCTAAATAAATGTTGAATTACTGGTTCTCCATGTTGCTGACATTTGGAAAATGCTCCACGAGAACAGGACCCACAAGAAGACCTGTCAGCACATCACTCCCCGCAGGGAGGAGAGGAAGCAAGTGCCCACACTGCTGCTCCAGCACCCACCTCCCATTCACCTCTTTCACACAGCAGCCACACAGACAGTGCTCCAGTTACTAAGACCACCTCTTTGCTTAGAACAAATATTTAAAAAAAAAAAATTACCCCCTTTTCCCCGCACCCCAGCCACAGACAGTGCTCCAGTTACTAAGACCACCTCTTTGCTTAGAACAAATATTTAAAAAAAAAAAATTATGGAAAACAGTCATTATATATAATACAAGATGAAGGGTAAAGCCTACAAGACCACAAAAAAGAAGCAGCAGCTCTGTTATGCAAATAACACATTAAAACATGAAGGCACAAAAAAAATTATGAGAATACTTCATTTTAAAGATAATTCCAGATATGATTTTATTCTGAACTTTACAAATAACAAGCATTTTTCTATAAAAAACTAGGGTAAGAACCAATTTAGTTACAGCTAGGAATATTTACATTCTTAGAAGAAATTTCTGTATCTTTCTATATACAAGGCTGTGGCCATTACTAAAGTACCCCCAAAGGCATTTGTAAGTAAGGCATTATGGTGCCTGAGCCGATTCTATGCTTTAAGAAAACCATTTACAACTGCCAGGATTAAGGTTCTATTCTACAAATATTGAAATAGGTATTTATTCGCAGAGACAGGCCCACCAGTTTCACGTGCTTACTGTGCTCATGTGCATAGGCCCCTGGAGAGCATTAAAAAGAAGAGCCCCTCTGGGCGACGCTATAAAACGGAACCGGCTGTAAAGCAGAGATGGGTATAAGTCACGTTAATCCCAAATTCCATGAGATCAGCGATACAGCATTAGCATCACCGTATCTCAAAATGAAAGTCCTCTGAAGAGAACGGTATTTTTGCAATGTAGTTAAGCGCACAGGGAAAGTGTTCAATAATGCCCCTCCTCACAGGCGTGCACGCCGCAGGCAGCTTCGCGTAGAACTATGAAGGGGCTGTGCAATTAGACGAGTATGATTAAGCATTCAAAACCCAATCCTTGCTTGACTTACTGCAGTCCAATTCCCTGGGCAATGCACCACCTCCCTGTGCTTTCTTCTTCCAAATGGTAACTTGGAAACAGGGGAGGAGGTGATCACACCTCCTAACAAAAACGGTGTTGGAAGTCATCCAAAGTTGCCTGCTTCTGAACGATGAAATACTAAATGATGTTCACGTGAGCATTACATTCACCGTCAGGAGAGTCAAACAGAGGATCTAACAAACACAGACTGTGGAGCACGAACATCACAAGAAATTAGGGTTCCTTTTGAGTTAACGGTATTTCCACTTGCAAGCAAAGAAACTGAAGTCACAGGATCACGCGACACGCCAGACGATGAAAGAAGTCAGTCTAAGCTGGAAAGGAAGGGGTCCTAGTTCCCAACTCGAGGCCGTATGCTGTTTTCCTTGGTGAAGATACTGTCGTGTGCATCGTTCTCTAGCAACAGAGAGTTTTGCCTAACCACATAGTTTTGTATAACCTGTGTTGCTGCTGTCATACAGGTTATGGGCACCAAAACCATTCAGTATGTCCCAGGTTAAGGTTAGCCTGAATGTCAAAGTCTCTATTATCTTCCTCCACAGTACAAGGAGCTCATAGGTTTATCACAACTCCTCTTTCAAAGGCAAATTCTGTCCCTTCCCCCTTACCAAGTGTCACTCCCTACTTCTTTGAGGATAACAGGAGCAAAAGCTCTGGCTTTCCCCGAGAGCAGCAGAACAGGCCCTTCCCCACTAGCCAGCACACTAGGCAAGACCAGTGTCTAGGTGTGTTCAAATACTGGTACTAAAACCCACCAACTCTTTACAGAAGGGACAATCTGTGTGCGACTTCACCTCGGGATTAAAGGCTGTCCCGTGCATCCCTTGTCCACCACGAGGCCGAGCGAAGCACCTCCCACGTGGACCGTGACTCATTTCACGACACTCACACAACAGCTCCGCGGGGGCGAGTGAAACACGTCTCAAAAATGTCAGTTAAAGTGGTCCGTTTACAGCAGAGTCTCAGAAAGTCGGTCCAGATCCTGCTTCGCATCAGCATTAACGCAAAGCGACGTGCCGACGCGTCTATTAACGAGACCATACACTGTCTAGGAGTCAGTCACGTCTGAAAACGTGGCACTCGGCAGACACCTTTCAGAGCCAAGGCACGGCGCGGCACCAGCGCTTTATCCTGCAGGTATCCACAGCCACACTTAGTGCTGCAAATCTCACCTGTTGCCAGCACTGATACCACTCTCAGATTTGCCAATTACTGGGTCAGTTCCTCTCATCGACATCTTATTTGCACAGATCAGATCACCTGCCTACATTAAAATATCCCCTCAATTTCTTTTGGAAATAACGTAGTAGCTGGATTCTGTCTACCCACTAGAACAAGCTCCTTGTTTTAGAGATAAACTTGAGAAGGGTAGGATAAAAAAGTAAATACAAAATAACCCAGGACGCTATATTAAATATATTCTACATTTCTGACTCATACTTTTTGTTTTAAAAAAAAAAAAAAAGATGAGCAAGGAAAAATATGTATTTTTTTGGACACAAAGAGATTGGATTGTTTTATAGTATTAGTCATAACCAGGAAATTCCCAATTTTGACTGGATTAAAAAAAAAAAAACAAAAGAACAAAAAACCTCACAAAATCTTCAGTAAATATCAGAATATGTAAATATTCAAGAACAAAAGTCTCACTGTCAAGGCACATACCTGGATAAAACAGTGGATAAGAAATTATAGCTAAATCAGACATTAAATGGACTCTGCACTTTAGGACAGGAATTTCCATACTAGATCATGTATCAGGCAAGCACGTATCTTCCATTTCAGGGTATTTTCTGAAACAGTTTACAGGAAGAGACTTATGGGACACGGTTGTTTACACTGGCAAATCCATTACAAGGAAGCTGTAGCTAAGTGTGTTTTGCCTCAGATTCCTGCGGTTATCAGATAATTCTTCTACAACACGCAGAAAAGCTGCTGCTTCTAAATGTTCCAGTTCCTAGAAATAAGGTTTACAAAGAAAAACATCTGTACCAAGTTTTAGAACACATTCTTAAGTTTGCAATGAACATTTCACAAAAGGTGGTAAGCCTGACAAATTGTATCATGTCTTTGGGCAAGGGAGACTGGCTGTTACACGCTCTCTCCTGACACGTATTTGCTCATGTCAAGGCTATTATATGATGTGCAGCGAGGCTTGCAAAATCCAGATTCTCGATTTTTGTGCTAGCTTCAAATCACACACTGCATTTTAAACCCATCTGCCAAGGGCCTGTCAACCTATTAAACAGGAGTGACACGGAACCTGCCCAAACGTTGGGATTTCTCTCCTCAGAAGAACTGAGGACACAACAAAACTACCTTTCTCTGTATCATTCTCTGACCTGGTAAGACTGGCCAACTTCCTGCTGCATCCAGAAATTAAAATACTAAACAAGCAGGCGAGAAAATGCAGGGAAAGCGGAGCAAACCCTAAAGCTCAAGACACTGGTAGGAAGAGTTTAAAGAACCCCACTACAGCCTATGCAGTTTTTTCTACTTTCTTGTTTTTAAGACAAGCAGTCTGGAGGGCACACACTAGTGCATGAGTCCGACTGCCGGAGCTGGTTATCACGGACAGAATATGTGGTATTGGTTAACAAAAGACTGGAATCAGCTGATGCCACCTACGTATTTAAATACAGTAGGAAAATGCAAGTCTTCCACGACCAGCTGCCGCAGCAGAGAGTAAGGCCCCTAAGGGCTTTGGCTACAAAGGTTTAGGTTCTGTTTATTAAGTCTCTACAGGACAGAACACACACAAACGAGTGCCACAAGAGAGAAATCTTTCACCGCTCACATCTGTCAAAGTATGATGTAATGCACGATCAGAACAGCACAAATGAGATTAAATATATATAATATATATGTACACTCAAAGAAACACAGGTAATGCCGAGAGTGCTTCTGCAACCCAAGGAACAACTTCTTGGCAGACTGTCAACAAGGTTTGGTGGGTTTTTTTAGAACAATTTGAAAACAATTCACTGATTACATGAGTTAAGTGAAATAACAGACCTCAAAGCAATCATGCAGTTGGCACTTGAGAAGTATATTCTGAATTTAGTTCTCAGTACATTCCACCATGAGGTCAACGCAGTGGCATAGATTAACACGAAAATTTAGCTCTAAATACATTCATTGTGTGCGTGTGTATGTGCACGTGTGAAAAGCACAGAAGACAGCAGAATTGTTTCCATCATCCAAATTGCACCAAAGACGTTAAAACAATTTAGACATAAAACTTCCAACACACATCGAAATGGAAGAACCCCAAACTAACACCGCTCCCTCCGCACACAGATGAAACCTTTTGCATCATTTAAAATAAATACGGCCTGGAAACAACTCCACCATACAGGTACAGTTGAAAACCAGCATTGGAATCAAGTGAATTTTGTGAGCAAAACTTCAGTGCTACAAATATTTTGTGCAAGACAATCCTTTCGATCTACGTTGAGTTAAAACATATCAAGTTAGAATTAATTCTCAAAATCTTTCTTTGCATCTTTCTGAATTTGGTAACAAATTCAGCACGTGCAAAGTCATTTGAGTAAGATTGCAGAGAGGCATGTTCTCATAACCTTCCCTATAATAAATAAAGTTTCCTGTCCAGAGACAGAAGTCAAGGAATCAAAACCAATTAGCAGTTTTTTCTGGCAATTTTTACTTCTTGACGTGCATTAGCTCTGGAGAAGGTTCACTGAGGAATCCAGGTACCCTGCCAGCCCTTGAACTCATTTTCAAGTATCTTGCAGCTGACCTATACACTTGAAGTTATGAAGGATTGATCAGATACTGTTCCATGGTTCTACTGCATTAAAACAACTGTGCCTGAAATGTCTCATTGAAGGCTATACAGTATTTATGTTCATATAAAAAGAGAATGTACGGAACACAGTGTTTAAATTAATAAATAAGGTTAAAATTACAGGAAACAAAGTGTTGCCACTAGCCCTTTCTAGAATGAATTTTAGAAGAAAAGTCCATTTAACTTTCAGTTCACCAGGAAGTACACAGGAGTTCCATCAAAAAGCTGTGCTTTTAAAAATCTCTGGATTTTCTTCTTCCTCCTTGGAATCCCTTGTGCTACTAGATGCAGGCCTGTATTCTAATCTGGGGCGGGGGGAGAAAGAAAAAAGAAAATAACTTAAAAAACAGATGAGAGAACAGAGAAAAAAAACTCTTTGATATCCTGAGCCCTATTTGACATTACAGCCTCCTAATTTTAATATCTTGTTGACTTCAGTTGGACAGGTCCCTTTCTTACACGAGTATATGCTTATGTGCCCTCTTCAATCAGAGCCGTGGCAAAAGGCCAAATGCTCGCAATGCCTTCTTAGGTCAGTTGAACTAAACTGGAAGAGTTCAGCCCTTCACCAGTGCTTATATGACTTTCAGAACCTAGCAAAATAGATTATAACCCACAAAGTGTCCCTATACCTTTATAAAGCAATACACTTTTACAAATGCATTCCTCATATGTACTTTTATTCAGTCCTCAAAGTAAAATGATAGATTTGGAGCCGAGAGACGTACATATGAACATACACACTTGGGAACAGGGACCAGGATTCCAGCCAAATTCTTAGATCTTCACAGAGCACTGACTACGCTACCAAAACCAGCCCCTCCCTCTGACAGTACCTAGGCAAGTCCGCTCCTCTTCTCAGAATAGAGAACAGATGTGTTAAGATCAGAAGGCGACACTTACCCTTTCACCAACAGCATTTGATCAATTGTGTCCGGAAGAGGCATACCATAGCTTTCTGGCAGAAATAAAGTCAGAATTCCTGATAGCACAGTCAGGCTCCCCATCAGGATGTAAGGCAGGAATCGATCATAGGCACCTAGCAGAATACAAAAAAACCCCAACACCCGAGCTTCAGCTTTAAGCCTCCGATACCGTTTGTACCTAGGAACAAGGCTTTATCTGCGTAAGATTTATGCTTTCAGTACAAAACAAACCAACCCCCTCACAGTCTGGCATTCAAAGCATATATTGTTTTAACTGTGGTTTTAGGAACTCAAGAGACTGTGAAACAATAGCTGTAAGAGCTGTCCCTATTGAGTCAGTAAGATTGTGAGTCTTCCGAACGTCTCTTCAACAGGGCATAAAACACAATTTCTCTACGTTATGACCATTGTTCGGAGATGTTGAGAACCCATTTTTACCTGCAGTTTCACAACACACCTGGACCTGGGAACAAAGAACAGTCAGAAAATCCCAACGACCCACAGAGGCAGGACACCGATCTGGGTAAAAAGCATTGCTTCCCACCTGCCAGCACCTCCCCAGCGCAGGCAGACGAGTTAACTTACCGAGGTAAACGAAGTAAGGCGAGAGGATGCTGCCCAGTCTAGAGGCCATGGAACTTGCTCCAACTCCCATGTTTCTCACTACTGTTGGGTAGAGCTCAGCCGTGTAAACATAAACCATTGAAAAGGCAGATGTGATCCCAAATTTCCCTAACATCACCAGTAGAATAGATAGCGCACGAATATCTGAAATCAAAACGCAGTAAGGATTTCAATAGAGCTCTGACAATCCATGGTATCTCTTAATTCCATTGTGTTTGTATAACTCCTGTCTAATTAATTCCAGTATCTGGTGTCTTCTTTTCTCTGTACATGTCTACAAGCACGGGCAACATTTTTTAAAATTTATTTATTTTTAAATTACTAGCGCTCAACATTTTCATTTCCTTGAGAATGGGGCTTCCTGCCAAGTAAAAAACAAGAAGAGAGCAAGCACTGGAGAGGTCCTCTCAGATTTCAGGGGCCAGATCTCTGCTATTGCAAACACCACCATATATCCCCTTTTTGGTAAGGTGAACAAAGTTAAACATTTGAAACAAGTTATTTTTGGTTTCCTGCTCTGGTTTCTCATGAACACTGCTAGCTACAAGTCAATAATTTAATTACAGGAAGCCAGGCCGACTTTAACTGGGACAGTTAGATCTGAAAATCGAAACAGATCCTATCTGTGTCCAATTGATTCAAAGGACTGGAGAAAGAGAATGCAACACATGCATTACCTGTATAAAATAAGCAAGGCACTTCTTGTGCATTCTCTTTTGTTTCTTCTTTGATATGTAAACAAGTGCTGAGCAACAACACCCCCCATCATATTCAACAGCATTACCAGTAAGAGTCCATAACCCCTTAATCTAACTGGCCTAAAGATACATATGGTTTGTATCTTTATGAGATATTATTATATTTATGTATATGATACGTATATTTATGAGATATTATCCAATGAGTGTTATTTTGTCCTCCTTTCCAGTTGCCAAACATTATTTTAACTATCAACACTAATTCAGTGCAAGCAGTTTTGCTTATCAAAAATGCTTCCACAATGACTCCCTCGAATATAACTGTTTAAACAAGCCATAAAGAGATAGTCATTTACAGTTGTTCGGGAAGTTCTGCAGCTTCCTGGTAACCTCCGCTGACCAAATTCTGGTTGGTCTAGTCCTGGTTTTACACTTGGACCTTACCAGGGCACCCTGCCAGGGGTGCACATTAAAGCAAAACCGGACTACAGAGCTGATCCCAACAGACCACAAAGCCAATGACCCACCTTTAAAAATGTATCTGAATTGACATGTTGTGTGAGCTCCCTGTGCAGCAGCACTGAGAACCAAGGAAGAGGGGCAAAGATAGGGAATGAATATCTGTATTTAGTCCCCTCAGGACACTTTTCCTCCGCATCTGCCTAGTTCGTGGTACTGCACTTCACCTATCATACGTATTTGAGATCAACTAACGATTCCATACGTGAAGGCACCAGCTGAATGAAGAGAAGAACACAGCCTCCCAAGAATAACGCAGCAGCCATTGAATACCGTCGAGGGAGATTTCGAAGCAGCAGCCAGGAAATAACATAGGCTGGAACTTCAATCACTGCCGAGAGAAAGCAGTTCACATAGACGTCTCCATGCAAGTTAGGTGTGTCAAGAGAAAGTCCAAAATAACCAACAGAGATTATCATCCTGAAAGAAACAGAATAACAGGGTCAGACAGTTTTCTCTTCTTCCTGAGGTTGCCCTGAACCTCTGTTAAGCACAGAAATCACTATGTAAGGCAAATTCAGCATCTGCCAGATTCTTTCACCTTTGAAACATCTTAAGTGCTGACTTCAGAAACAGCAAGATAACAATTACACAGTGCTGATGCTTTTTATCTTTCAAGTTTCTCTTGAATTTAAGGAATATATTTAAAAAAAAGAAAATCCTATTCAGCATTAACGCAATTAGGTAACTCCAGAGCTGTTGCTAGCCTTGCTGAGGCACAGGCCTATGAGCCCAGCAGTGCTGGATGGTCATGCAGCTATAGTGGTCACTCTTCTTTTCTGATGCCATTGCATGACTTTGCAACTGTCCATCCCACTCTCATGCAGACCTCGCAAGGAAGGTCTGGGTATTTGTCACTTTTAGACATCTCATTTGTCTCTGCTAGTCACGCTGATGGAGAGGGGCTGACTACTTCTCACGTATGCCTCCATATTTCAGGTCACCCCTGGGAGACAAGTGATGATCATTCACAATGCAGTGATACAGCAGTTCCTATTACTAGTAGTTATGGCTTTAGCCTGAAAGTTTGGACTACTAAATTTTACTGCTGCTGAGGCCTACAGCAGCTTTTCATCACGTTTACCAGAGCGCTCTGGGTGGAGAACATTGTTTCTGGGTCATTACCCTCCACGCTTTGTGTATAAAGTCACAGAGGAGGAGTACGGCATCCTGGCAGACCCAAACAATCCAGGATTTTCTCTGCCATGCCCCAAGCTGGCTGGGCAGGATCCAAGTCACATTTGCATGGCTCGGTGCCTGGGCTGGTCAGTGTAGCAGGACAGAGCTTGGTGCCCGGGAACGCTGCCATCTTAACTGTGCCACTGCCAGATGAGAACTGGCTTCCACGTGATCAAGGGAAACACACACCTGGCCTTGGAGACAAATCCTGTCACGTCTTGGGAGATGCTGGGAAGAGAAGGTTATGCTTCACCAACAAGCAATGTGCGGTAAACAAGGAAATAATGGGTCCAGGTGCACTGGCGAGGTACAGAGCACTCGGCACTTCATCTCCTTCAGCATTTATGTTATAACAGAACCTGGAGCAAAATCACTGCACAGCACAAAGCGGATCACTGACCAAAGATTAGCTCTTCCTCCTCCTCAGTTCATGTGGGAAGAGCCTTCACGGTCCAATTGCTTAAAACAAGTTGCCTAGTATACCTGGGAAGGTATGAAGTCATACAGCTGAGGGTAACCCCCCCCCAGCTCACTGCTGTGAGCTATTCTTCTCAAAAGTAGTTATGCTGTGTTTTCCACAATGCTGTACAATATGCCCAGCCCTGTGCTCCTAGGAGTTATTTTTATACACAATAAACTGTGCTTGCTGGAACTCACTTTCAGCAGCAGTCTGCCTTAGCTTATCACATTGGCAAACTTTGATACAGTTATACATCTTCTATGAAAACTTTACGGGTATTTACACGTCCCAGGGTGATGAGAAGCCAAACTTCCTCCTCCCTGATGCAAACCCAGCAAAGAGTTTAGTTTAAAAGCCTTCTACTTACTCAAAATTAACAAAACTCAGCAATATGTAAAGGTGATATACTGCTATCTGCAACCATCCTCTTTTACAGAGCTTCTTTTATGAGATCTTTCAATTCATAACGCAGAATATACCATCAGTATACTATGGGTTGGAAAACATTGCTGTGAGTCAGCACAAGATGCTTTATATTTTGGGAAATTAATAAAAGGAGGTTAGGCAACTGACATGCAAGGTAAAAATAGTGGAAAAATTGCCCAAATCAACTGAATACTCTTCTGCAAGAGGAGGTAAGAATGTGTAAGTCAGTTGCACATGTTTGACTCTTCCCGCCTATCATAAAACTTCATTTATCATGTGATAAAAAGCCCTTCAGCATATGGAATGGTTTACATACTGCCACGTCACTCTGTTTCTCTCAGATGCTTTGTCCTACCAGAAATGCTGTTCAAACAGGTTTTGCATTTGATTTCTACAACCACACACGCAAAATCAGCTGTGCCTAGGAACTCGCTACTGATCTACTCCATGCAGATTAGAAGTAGGGCGGTCTCAATTCGCTAGCTCACTTCCAATTAAAGGTGAGAGTCAGCAATTCAACTTGGAGGTTAAAACAACAGTATACAGAAACTGTATCGACATTTCTGCGAAGAACCAACATTACTTTTCTTTTTTGAGCTGTTTTCTGCTCAAGTTCCTTTCTCAGTGTGTTTGTAGCACTGTCCTTGGTGATGGGCAAGGGAATCTGGCTTAAATATTAGCCAAGTCATCCTTTGACCCAAAAAGCCCCATCAGCTTGTACACACTGGCAGCTCAGTGGACTGAACTCCAAGGCTTTGCCTCACTAAAGCACAGGAACATTGTTCAAAAAGGCAGCAAATAGACTCAGTTAGCTCCAAAGCACTTGAGGGACCTTCTTGGTTAGGACACTGTAGCTACACGCACTAATTAAACTTCACTTTTATAACCTATAAAGGCAGGCTATAAGTTACCCTCTCCATTTTCTCTCTTCTGAGCAATTACAGCTTCGCTGAGATTTCCAGTAAAGGAAAATGACAACTGTTTAATCAAACTGAGCATAAAGTATGGCTTCAGCTAGTGTAAGACCAAGCTGAAGATGGCAGGTAGACATAGTAGCTAGCAGGAAGGTCTAGGGAAATCTCAGATTAGAACTTCAAAGGAAGCTTTATCCCTTTAAGACACAATACAAAAGAGATGGGAAGATTCTCCCCGTAAGTCAGGCATCACGGTGTTCAGACCCCTGGGCAGTAGTCCTCTGACTGGAGGACAGGGCACGACTCATTCCTCTTAAAAGACTTCGTTACTGTCAGATGAGGGTTCCCCAAGGCCCAGTATCAGGCAGGATTCCCACACATCATTGCCAGCTGATCTGATTCTGGCTGAGTTCAGGATATGCCTGACTGCTTCAGAAAGAAATAACAATCCAGATGTTTCTAGACTGTTACTGAAATGCAGAACCTACGTAACCAGAATTTTGTTGCTTCAGCCAGCAGGTTATTGGTTTTTGAGCTGGTTTTGTCCATATCTCTTCAGAATACCTTATAGTGTTCAAAGAACAGTTTTTAATTGTTTTGCTGCTTTCGCGCTTGTGTATTCCTTAACCACGCTTGCTTACCAAAGAATCACTGACATAATTGTGATAGTTAGGATATTTCGGGTTTTCATTAGATCCAAAATGGTGTACGTCTGTTGCTTCTGGGAATTCAAATCTTGCAGCTGGAAAAACAAACAAACAAACAGAAAATCCATGGGAACATTAGCTTCCTGAAAGCACAATTGTTGTGCAAGTAAGTCCCCCCCCAACTTATACATCAGTATTTTGATATGCTGCAGAGCTGAAACAGGTGCCTCACTTTTAACCGACCACGTATAAGCCGTAAGAGCCAACTTACCTGTGAAAGTAGTTGCTCCTCCCTAATTTAAAGTCACTTAAAATTTAGGCTGAAATTTGTAATCATCTCCTCTGCCTGCGTCTCCATAAAGCAACTGCTTATTGTTACTTTTATACTTGAATTATAAAGCAACAGCATTAATTTCTGATTTATATGTCACTACTGGCAGGGTTCTTACATCCAGTTTTGAGGACTGCACCTTGAGGATCATGCAAATCAACTGCACCCAGACGAGAAGAGAACAACAAGGATGATGAGACATTTGAAAAATGTGATCTTTAAAAGTCTGAAAGCAGAGGGTTTATTTAGCCTAAGGGCCAGAAGATGGAGGGAAGCATTAATTTCTGATTTATATGTCACTACTGGCAGGGTTCTTACATCCAGTTTTGAGGACTGCACCTTGAGGATCATGCAAATCAACTGCACCCAGACGAGAAGAGAACAACAAGGATGATGAGACATTTGAAAAATGTGATCTTTAAAAGTCTGAAAGCAGAGGGTTTATTTAGCCTAAGGGCCAGAAGACGGAGGGAGTCTTAAAAGACCAAGAATGGTCTTCAAAGACCAGCAAAAAAAGTGATAAACTGTCCTCTATGTCCACTACAGACAAGGCAAGAACTAACAACATTAAACTGCAGCAGGACAGATTTAGTAAATGACTCCTCATGCTGGACCTAACAGTAATGTATTTAAACTGAGACAAATTGGCCAATGAGCTGAACAGTGCCCATCATTATTTAGCCTGGTTTTGAGATCATCTTCTAAGAATATAAGCAAAAAGACAAACAAACTTCTTTCCCCCTGTAACTTTCCAGCTCCTCAAAATAAAACCACTTCCATGTAAACAACGCAAAGATATTCACCCATGAAGCATGCGAACAAGTTGTGTGCTCGATAAGATTGTAAAAAAGGGAAGAATTTAAGGGTTTTTTTAATTTAGGTCTTCAATTTGGACCCCTAACAAGGAGTAACAAGGGAGAGATTTTTCAAAATATGTAGAAGGTGATTTAAGAGGACAAGTTCCATTGATTAAAACTATCAACTCTGATAAAGCAACACTATATGGCTGAAGAACCACAGTTTTCTAGACATGTCATTTTTCTTTTCTTTTTTTTTTTTTTAATCGCAAAAGATGGTATGTTTTCAGGATTTATCACAGGCTACTTACTCATCAATTTAATGGTATTTTTAGCAGTCTTACACTAAGAACATTAACGAGATTTTCATCTTACAATCTTCCACAGAGAGTCTTTTTTCTGTTAGGACATTTTGTATCTATCTGAATCTGTGACTCTATCAACAGCTAGAAATCTAACCAAGAAAGAAACAAGCATCCACCTTAGCAGCTCAAAATTATCAAATGAAAAAAGGTAATACTGAAATATTTTTAATTTTGACACTTTTTGAATTGTAAGCTGCCAAGACGCCTCACAGTATTTAAGTGAGGACTTCTCTTTCCACAACTAGAAGAATCACTCTTGCCTGACAGACCTCTATTATGTGCAAGCACAATAAACTGTATACAAAGATTACTTCCTCCCTTGATTTTTTAAGTCAGCGTGACCTGAGAATGCCAAATTAAATTTTAATATGTTTAAAGACTGAATGCCTTTTGTTGGCACTGTGTACTCCTTCATGGTATGTGCAAACATTTATCAATAAAAGTAAACTATGATTGCAGCTTCAAAATAGTGCAATTACTCACTACTTTGAACTTTTCTGAACTCTTTCAGCCTGGTCTAATATGCCAACCTCTACTCTGTATTAGTTCAACTTACAATACTTTTTTCCCTAAAACATCAGGCTGGTCCAGCAGAAGTAGCTGGATGTATTGCAGGACACAACGCACCAATAAAGAGGCAAAAGCAACCTCATCAACCTCATTCAGTTAGTGATGTTTCTTTTGGCAAGCTAGTTGCTGGACACTGATTTGGTGCCCTTAACTCTTGTCCCTCAACTCAAAATACACATTAATATCCTCAATGTCTTGTAAACTGTATCTGAGCTAATGGGAACATGAAGTTTACGTAACCCCTGCAGTCAGGTGAAAATTCTGAGTGATATTTTGTTCTGAAGACCTGGAGGATAAAATAGTGGCCTTGATGCTTGTGCACGCCAAACTTCAATGTATTTGCTTTCACAAATCTTCATTTTCTGTGAAAGACAAACAGTTCTTTACATTTGATAGCTTTCACTCTGCCTGAAGCCAAACCTCCCACAACACAAACTGCAGTCAGCTTTACAGCTCACAGCCCTTTCTCATAAATCACATGATCTTTCCTAAGTACTCTCCAGTTTTGCCACTATTCGTTTCCAGGAAACCAGCAAACAGGAAACAAAAAAAAGGAGAAAAACCAAACAAACCGCAAAACAAACCCAGGAACAGTAACATTCTGAGAGTCACAGCTGATGAGAAGAAAAGGACCCTGCCTTTTAGGAGCTGGATAATCAGACAACATAATTCTCAACAGGACAGGCTAGAACAAGAAGCTATGAGAAGGGCAGGGAGCGTAAAACGATGACTTGAAATTAAACCTATCATCCTAACATTTCTATCCCCCTCATATGGGATAATTCAGCCAACCAGGCCCTATTTGTGCTCCGCAGCTTGCTTGCGACTAGTCACCTGCTCGATCCTAACTGGTTTTGACATCTCTGGAGCCTCAATATTGCAGGTGCTGCTCTCCAGCTGCATGGGTTCAAGGAATACTCCAAACATGAGCTCAGGTTGCTTCCCCATCCAGAACTCACGTTCCAACTGCACGAGGGCTAAGGGCCAGTTGGATTTCTGAGAACCTCGCTGCAGCGTAAACATGCTTCCTAAAAAACTCAAGAGAGGCTGCGAGCCTTCTGCCTTACAGCTCTTCAGAAAGCAGACAAAAGAACAGCGTAAACAGACCACTGATGAAGAAAAGTTTTGCACAGATTTTTTTGGTTACAGCATTACTTTTACCTTAGAAAGTAAAAAGATGGGCGGGAGTTCTGCACTTAAACAGTGCCTGTTCATCGAGCTCATTTTCCTCTCAGTGTCAGAATGTTAATCTGTGTTTCTGAAAGTTGACGTGCAATGATTTATCTGTAAATAAGCACCGTGTACTCCAGCCCACCCTGCTGCAGAAGTCAGCATTTCCCCTCGTCCAGTGTTCCCCGGGGCAACATCCCTACTCTTGCCCCTGCCTTCTGCTGCTTCGTAATCCAGCCCCATTCAGAGATGACAAACAGATCAGTATTTCTTTCTAAGAATGGGAGATGGAGATGACAAACAGATCAGTATTTCTTTCTAAGAATGGGAGATGGAGGATTCCAGGAACAGTGACGTTAAGCAGATGTTGGAGCTTGTTTTCCCTTCTTCTGCTGTAGTGCTGGCAATGGGCAAGTTTTCATGCCTACAGCGTAAGAAGGAAGGATCAAAAAAAAGGAAAAAAAAAAAGCGTGTTCTAATGAAAATCCAGGGAAAAAGCTCATAAGAAGGTCTGGGTTTTCCTGGCATTCTCACTCTGTTCCAGCAAGACCAGGATGTCTGTCCTACTATCTACAAAGGAGTCTGGACAAACAGATTTGTTTGCACCTCAGCTAGCTTCAGCCCAAGTGAAGCTGTTTCAATCTCAATAGCAAACACACTACAGTTTAATGGCTAACCGTTTTCCTTAGTCTGCTACAGAGGCCTTGTAAAGCAAGTGAATATACAAGGTATTTTCACGTAAACGACAAGACAGTGTCAATTGTCAACCAGAACACAATTAGGTGACTGCCCAGACAGACGCTACAGAACTGCCTAGAGTGGTGCCCATTCTCCTGGATTATGCAAACAGTTTGTCTGTCTGGTTTTTGGAGTTCATGTTTGAATGAGTGTGGAACTGCTTCTACATCTTAAGGTCACCAACAGCTCAGACAAATGGGGGATACGTACAGGAAACAAGAACATGCTGGAAGGAACAGATGGGCAAGAAAAGATACTGCTAGCTACTCCACCCGAAAGGAGCTCAAGTTTTGCTCTCCTTAACATGGAGTAGAAATTGGAGTTGAATATGGAATTGAACTAGAATGACATTCTTTCCACTGCCACTGGCCAGGATTAGTCCTGTGTTAGACTTTTACAGAACTATATTAGACTGCACAAGCATAAAATCTGTTTAGTGCAAGTATTTAGATCACAAAGCAATAGGTACCTCAAATTCATTACCTTCCCCCAAAAACTAGAGTTTAAAAGGAAGAAGGTGGCGGTAAACTGGATCAAAAAGATTGCATTAGAATGCATGTTGGCATTCCCATGGGAACGGGACAGCAAGGGCTTTGCAAATCTTAACGAAGTGGGGAAAGGGTATTCTGCTTTTCAGGAAAAGGATGACCTTTTACCCATTTGAGAAGTATGTGATACACTGCAGGCGTAACTCTATTGATATGTCTGTAAATTAATCGCTTTACATGGTCAGCTGGACTGCTGAATGAGTCTTACCTCATTAGGGTCAAGTATTACATCTGGGGCTGTAAGGCCGTTAGTTTTTGCAGCCTTTCGGATGATGTCTTCCGCCTCTTGAAATCTTCCCTGGGAGATCAGCCACCGTGGAGATTCCGGAATGACCCTGCAAACAAGGTTCAGAATAACGAGCCTGCATTTCCACAGACAGCACTGCTGCAGGCACCACTACGCATTGTTCCAGGCATGAAGAGCTCAGAACTTGCCATATCGTGCAGACATTAAAGCAATGACAACAGAAATCAGATTTACAAGAGCAGACTAGCATACTGAACAAGAACAGACTAAAATGTGTTTGTGGATTTTAGAAATACTAAAGAAATAAGCCATGACTCAGAAAAAAGAGCAACCAAAACCTTCAGAGTATGGGAAAACAGTTTAATTAAAGAAATTCAGAAATGTGAATACACAAGCAGCATGCTGTACATTAAGAGGCGTATCCTTAAAGAATAACACATATAAAATTAGTAACTGTAAATACTGTCATGTAAGTCAGAAAGTAGAATTTGCCTGAGTCATTCAACTTTGTAAGAAACTGGATGGAATCACGAACATAAATGCCAGTGTAAGTGAAGAAACACCACCACCATGTGGACTATTTAAACTTTACATGCCACCTAAAAGTAGTATTTCATTAACTATGGAAGAAAACATGGAAGCCTCGCAGATGTGCAACTACTGTTTTGTAGCTTGTCGTATCTATGTCACCCTAGCATTGCCCAGCTTCCCAAAACAATTGGTTTCTCCTTCTGCCCTTAGTTCAGGCCTACTCTTAAAAGTTCGTGGATTTCAGTTGGTGCAGAAGGATGAGTTTTATTGACTTTTTTTTTTTCCCCTTTGCATGTGGATCACTTAATTTTATAGAAGCCTACAGAAAACGAAGAATAGGCTTTTCAGGCATGAGTCAAATCACCCACAAAGCTATGGACTTGCAGTTAAACGACTGGGAAGAGGAAAGGACACAACATCCATTCTTCACCTGCCCGTTCCTGAATTTCATCGGTAAAGGCTGGTTGGCTTGGAGCCTGGATCTTAAAAATCTGCGGACAGGACCTTCTAAAGACTAAAGTCTTTTAAATTAGTTATACTCACCACCAGAGCGGGATGCAGAGCAGCCCAGGTAAAGTAAGTGCCAGCAGCAGCATCCGCCAGTCTCTGATGAAGTAAGCAAACAGTGGCAGCAACATGTAGCCAAATGCATAAAATATGCAAACGCCTAGCGTGCAGAACAGCACGCGAATTGATTTGCCAAGAATTTCTGTGCCTGTTCAAAACAACAGGGAGAAGATTAATATTTTAACTTAATAGCAACCAAGTAACTTACCGAAAATACCTCTAATGATTGGCTTTGAAATATACTACACTGGGTAGTTACAGCACATAGCGCGCTCTGCCAGCCAGTTTTAGAGGCACCGCAGACCTGCTTCATGCAGTGATCCCGCATCAACCCAGGCAAATAGAAAAGGAAGAGAACCGGGCCATACGGTATTTGTGTAGCTCAAAGTAGCTAAAACTTCTATAATTCTATGTTCTTAGAATCTCCCATTCTACCTGAGGAGCTAAAACCACCTGACATACTACAAAACATTCACAACCCTTAGCCTCAGCTTGATCCCCATAGGGTCCTCTCCAGCTTATGGAGAGAGACCAGCTTCTTTAAAGGATAATGCGGAGATGCCTAAATTAGGTTCCTGACCTGTACCGCCTTCTAAAGGACTATTTCACTATTAGCCAAAAATCTTGCTGTCTTTTGGCGTACACACGCGGAGGGTCGCTAACAAAGGCCAGGCTACTGGCGGTGGAATTAAATGCACTAACAGGGACCAATGCTTCCCTTGGAAACGCTTTGGGACCTGCAAATCGAGAGACATTGTAAGAGATATAATCTTCCTCATTTCCACAGAAATGGAAGAAGATTACAGAAGTTGCAGCAGGATGTCTGCAGTGAGGTTAGCTAAACACTGTTGTCACAGCTGCACTGCTCTTCTTTGGCCCAAAAGGAATTTCTTGCCAACATTTGGTACTTTGGACAGTGAGGCTACTGTAAGTAGCATTGATCAAAAAACACTTATTTTTTTAAAAAAAATTCTCAGATTCATATGGTAATTCACATTCCCACCTGATCAAATATAGTCTTAGTTAAATTGAAAATATATGAAGCAGGCATCATTATGCCATTTAATTTTTTGCTATAGGCTGCTTTAAGGAGACTTTATAACACTTGATTTTTTTTTTCTTTTACAAGTTTTTACATGAATTAGGCATTTAGGCCCCAAAATGGACAACACAAATCCCTGAAAAAATCATGTCTTACACGTCTTACCTTTCCAACTGGAAGACAGATTTTGTTTCGAATAATCAATTTCTGGGTTTTTTGCCTTTTTAGGATGGTAAGCCACAGATTTAATTCAGATTGCACTTCTATCAACTGGAAACTTCCAAGGAGAGCATGAGTTATCCATGCATGGTGAGGACACACTCTTAACAGCGCTGCTTGGCAAAACAAATCAACCCTAAGCCAGTACTGAAAAGGAACAGGAAAAGCACAAGACTAAAGAACGCATACTGCGCCCAGCAGGACTTGCATACCGAGAACAAATGCGGCCACGTAGTTAGATATCTGTCCCATGCCGACTAGCACAAAGAACACTGAAAACATCTCCCAGCTGGTAGAGAAGACCTGTACGAAGCTGAAGCCAGTCTGCATTGCCAGAGTTGCAAACAGCACATTCTTCCTGCCAAACCTTCCATGGACAGATTAAAAAAAAGAAAAAAAAAAAGATTATACAACAGCATGAATTAAATCTTCAGAAACAGAAAAATAAGATTACTCATATGCATACTTAGGGAGATACAAAACATCTGCAAAAAGCAGAGGTTCGGGAAATGTGACACAGGCACAACTATTCTAAATACATTGAAAAATCCACTGGGCAAGAGAAAATATTATTCCAAGGGCTGCTAGTTAAGTTGCCTTTAGGTATGTGCTAGAACACTATTCCTCCCTTACAGACAGAATAAGCAGGGAGACAAATCATCGGCAGCAAATTATTTAAAATGCAGGAGTATTAGGTGCTTCTTCTCCTCTAAGGAGCACACATTTCATGACACAGATCAGCATGTTAAAAAAAAAAAAGAAAAAGAAGAAAAGTTTCTGAAAGAGAGGTAAAACTCAGGCTTGTAAGATGCTATAATCAGTAAGGGATCCCACGCTGCAATCTTCATTCCACTTAGGAAAAAAAAATGAACCAATTTGAGGGATTCTACCAATTCTGTTGATGAATTACTAAAAAAAAAGAAGTTAAACTAAACCCAACCCATCAAGCTGTTAAAAGAGTCAGCGCCGATGTCCTGGCCTGGGCAGCTCCACACCGCAAGCAGCCTTCGCAGCCTGTGACAGGACATCTGCTGGGTGCAGGTTCACACAACTCCATTCTGAAGTTAGACTTGACCAGGAGGTCTACAGTTGGGTGCCACAAGCATCTACCAACACTTGACCAGGAGGTCTACAGTTGGGTGCCATAAGCATCAGGTAGATCGCAATGCACGAAGAACAGACCATTACTTGAACCTCTGAAATATTTTGTCAATCTCACTGTCACACCTGGCCAGGAGTGCGGGGCTCAGGCTCGCTGCGGGACTTTCTGTACCAGATGGGCAGATGGCAGCAGCAAAACGCCGCGCACAGCCTCAACGAAGCAGTCTCCTTGTGGGGCTGCTGGATGCACTTGGGTCTCTCGACCGTGAGCTAGCTGCCATTCAGTGGCTACGAGAGTAACTGGATGAGCTGTGCTGATGAGCTTCCTCGACTGCACTTGGTGAGGATCTGGGTGACCACGTGAAGGAGCTGCAGGAGGAGACTCCTGTGATGGTGAAGGTGGGAAACTCGTGGCTTCTGGCACCAGGAGAACAGCTCCCGCTTCACCTGCTGGTTAGCCACCATGGAAGACACTTGGCACCCTCATAGCAGGTAAGGGGCTAGGAGCTCTGTTGAACGAAGCACCCGAGCCCTGCAGCAGCACCAGGACAAAGTGGTGGGAGACTCCCCACGGCAAAGAGGGGAAAATCACCCCTCACGCGGGAGAGCAGCTGGAAAGCACGGAGCTCTGCCTGGGGATCGATGATGAAGACAGCTGAGAGCTTATGGGTCAGGATTAGCAGGCAGACCAACGCTGGCACCGCTGTGGGTGTCCACTGCAGACCACCCGATCAGAAAGAAGTAAACAAGGCCTTCTTCAGACAGCTAGAGGAAGCCTCGTGTTCAAAGGCACTGGCCATCATGGGGGACTTCAACCACTCCAATACCTGCTGGAGGGACAAGACCCAGAAATTTTCTGAAGTGCATCAATGACAACTTCCTAACACATGTGAGGAGCCGACAAGGGGAGACACTGCTGGACCCCATGCTTGCAAACAAGGGAGAACTGTTTGGGGATGTAAAGGTCGGCAGCAGCCACGGCTGCTGGCTGTGCGATGGTGAAGTGCAGGATCATGAGGGGAGGAACAAGGCAGAAGGCAGGATCACAGGGAAAGCAAACATTGGCCTGATTAGGGATCTGCCTGGAAAAATCCCATGGCATCTGGCTCTGGAGAGAAGTCCAGGGGAGCTGGTTGATTTTTAAGGATCATTGTCTCCAAGCTCAAGACTGGTCCAACTTGATGAGCAGGAAACCACGCAAAGGCCCCGAACGGATGCTACAAGATTTGTGGCAGAGGGATTATGTTTCAAAGAAACAGAAACTCTACAAGTAAGTCAGCAAATTAGAGGACCACATATTGTTCTCTGGGAATCAGGAAGACAGCACAGCAAATCTCAGGGAGACAATAAGAAAAACTGAGCTTTAAAAGAAAAAAAAAAACAAACCACCAAACCCAAAACCAACAACCTGTCAACATCACAAAAATTCATGGTGTCTTCCATTTTTTCATGTTTGTATTGATAAACAAGAAAGCCAGTGTACTCTGCAACTAGAAATACAGAGAAAAAAAAAAAATCCCCAAACAAGAAAGCCTTGCTTCTCTGAAGTACAGCTGAACAGCATTCATGCTTTGCAGCTTCCACAAACACAGGTCACTGGACTTAGATGTTGTATTTGATGACGAGGAAAAGAAGCTATGGGTGTTTATAAAAAGAGAATTTTAAATTCGACCTCAAAAAAGAGGAAAACAAGCCTCGGGGAACTCTGAACATAGTCCAAAGTAATTAGAAGAGAATGTCATTGATCTGATTTTTCCAGATGAAACTTATCTCCTACACCTGTTTTCTGGCATAAGAACAGTTTGCTCCAGAAGTGATTTCAGTGAAAAAATAAACAGATAAAGATAACACTCACTAACAACCTTTGTAACATTCTGTTCTACTTCAGGACGGTTACTCTATACTCTCTGTGTACATTCAGATTAGACAGTCACAGAACAAAGACATGTTAGTAGTTGCAGAAAGACACTTATAGCAAACTTCACATACAAGAACTGCTTACAAAACAGCACCAAACGAAGAGCCAGAAGCTCTGGTGTGTATACTTTACTTGTCTGAGAGCTGTCCTGATACGAAAGATCCTAGCAGGACGCCCACAAAGAACAGGGAGGTGCTCAGGGGTCCCTTCCAGTCGTTGTCACATACGAGATTCCACTGCAGGGAGAGAGAACACGAAAGTCTTGTAATAAACAGGATTTCCCCTCCCTCCTAAACGCCTTGGCTGAGCCCGGATGAAAATGTACCCTTTGGACAGAAAACCTCCACAAGAGGAATGAGTAACTAACCTACTGCACAGATGCAGCTCCGTGAAAATAACGGGAAGGGATGCTGCAGAGCAGAGGGCAAAGGCCACCCGCCCTGAGCCGTCTCGGGAGTGATCCAGCTGAGGCCCCAACGCTGCCTTCAGGTGTGACCCACCTGGCTTTCTTTACACAGTCGATGGCTGTGGTATTTCCCCTACACACGTATGAGTGACGGTAACTAATAATCTCATCATGTGCTTGGTTCAGCTCCCTTTCAAAGGCTCTGCAGCCCCTTAAACTGCTGCAATTCTGCCAGTTTTGGAAGGAGTGAGCATAGACCCCAAACCTGACTTCCCTGCATATGGTAACGTTTGCCATTAAAAATTCACATTTCTAATTTAAGAGAAATTGAACTATACAAACAAGAATATAGAAAAAAATACCTCCTCCGTTATTACATTTTAATATGGTTTTGAGAGACTGGAGACTGTTCGCTGCTCACTGGGAACCTAACTAACGTAAATTATAATATTTGGAATAAATTGAAACACATACACCAAACAAACCAAGATTTCCAAAATGAAAACAAAAAAGAGGAAGAAAGCAAGGTATTTATTAAATGAAGACTGCAATATTTTCCAATCTCCTACCCACTTCAGTCTGATGTTTTCAAAATAGCACTCGTGTTATTTTTGTATCTATACCAGCAGCTATTATTGAAAGAGTCTTAATTTTATTTTGGTTATCTGGGGAAAAAAAGTATGTAAATATTAGTAGAAAGGACAAACCCCAGCAGGGACGCCTCATCCCCTACCTCACTGCAATGCTGCGGCTGGAGGAGTTCCCAGAGCTCTCTCTCCCTGTCCTGCCACGCTACCCAGCAGCCTGCTGGCAGAGGGCAGGAGGAGCTGCAGCCCCACCGGAGAGGAATTTGGAGGCAACCAACGCTTCTGATGTGAGGCCAAACCCTCCTGAACTTAGTTATTCAAACAGCTCCCACAGGGCCCCTTCTGATGTTTTAGGGATGGAAACTTTTAGATTTTAATCTCTATTAAAAAGGTTGAAATCAAAATATTCACCCTGACCCCAAAAATTAATCCCCCTTGCTCCCCAGTTACAAATAATTAAGTATAGTGTGTTTTCCTCTTAGTTTTTTTTAAATTTGTACTGGAACACCCCGTAAGATCTGCTGCTGCGTGTCCCAGCTCCGCCATCCACTTCGTCCGCGGTCCCGCATGTGGGAACGCCAGTGTTTTCCTTTGTTCACCAGCTCTGTCTCCTTAGCATCAAGCCTTTGACTCCAGGAATCTCACAGCCCTCAGTCTATTAACAGTTCACGCTACAACTACACCCGAGTGTATGTTTTAAGGTTGTGGGATCACTAAAAACCACGCACTAACCGAACAACACTGGCAATGGCCTTCCACTCCCAGATCCCCGTGGCAAAACTCAACTGAACCACCACTTGTTTCATGGAAGAGCATCCAGTTTTGAATCAGAACTGGAAGTTTTTCTAGAGGTGAATGATGCTCATTCATACAGGCTGCACTCTCATCAGTCTTTGTGTAACTTTAGCTGCCAACCCTTAGACTATCTTACGAACGCATCTCATCATTATTATTTTTTTTAAGGTCACGGCAACAAACAAAATGTACCTTTTCCCAACTTGTAACCATATTCAAGTAATTTCTTAACCTCTCCTTCGATAAATCTGATTGTTGTTTTGTGTCTGAAGAACCTCTCCTTATATCAGATTTCATTTCAACATTATTCTTGCACTTATCCCCAAACCCTTCCAGCCTCACGCCACCTGAAGCACAGGCACTAGCACTCAATGCAGTGCTTCAATAAATCCTACCGACACCATCAATTATGCATTGTTATGGAAGTTCCTTTCAGAATTGCGGCTTTCTAATGTGCTAACAAATCTATACATGTAACTTAACTATAGTTATTCATTTAATTTAATAACTGTAATTAACATTTATAATTAAATCTGTATTTATTCAACAAAAGCTGTACTACATTAGAGATTAAAGAAAGTTTGAGCAATTCTGTGATGACCACAGAGGCTAATCCAGCCAGGAAGCTTCAGCTAACTCTATCTGGCACCTTGGAAATCTGCAGCAAATTATCATTATCAAATTTATATAGGCCAAAGAAAGGTTTCAGTGGTTATCATATGCCTTCATATGATGACACTTATCAGGAAAACAAATACCACTCCCAGTACAAATCCTGCATTAATAAAGACTCACCTACCCACAAAGAATCACCTTTCTGTCAGCTACTGGAGCCAGACATCTTCAATAACAGAACTAAAATCTAACTAGCCAAACATCTAGCTCGGTGATTTATAGTCCATCATTACTAAGTCAGTCATTATCTTCCAGCTGATCACCCTGTGCTTGTGAGTTAGCCGTCTCCTTTCATCTGTCTTACACTCTGTACTTTGGCACAAGGCACAACACTTGGCTTTCCAGACACTGGCATGCTTGTGCCCAGTAACAAACATTTTCTTCAGACCACTGAGGTAGAGACATTGCTTGGAAAAGTTCATGGTATTAAAATGTTTTGCACTGTTCTGCCAAAAGCTTCTTGCATTGGCAGGTGGAAACATACCGGTCCTTAAAATGTGGCAATGATTACCAGCTTGTTTTTCCGTCTGCTTTATTAAAGCAATGGTAGGAGCCGTTACACTGAAGATCACTTGAACCAGGCACCAAAGTGAACTTCAATATCAAATTTCCAAGGGAGAACTACCTTGGTTGTGCAATACCAGTTATTTACAGACTCCACAGACGCACAACAATCAGAACAAAGGGATTTTAAGGTCTGTTACCCCTTGCCCCAGTAAATGAATGCTGAAGTCTTCAACTTTTTAATGACTCACCAACAAGGTCTACTATGTTGCTTGTTAAGTCATGGTGGTCTTTAAGTCATTCAGTCTTCCAGAACCATTCTGCAAACAGACCCTTCCCTCAACTGTACGTTGCCCAAGAAGTAGTCAACAAAGCATCACTGTTAGAAGACCAGCATCACAAAGAGCGAGTGTCCCAGGAGTAGTTACTGATTGAATTCTGCTGCTGGCAGTGCTGTTTGGACCCAGTATACTGTGACCCAGTGCTCTAAAATCATGTGTTATTTTCACTTCTTAGTATCCTTTGAGCTAGCCTGCTAGCTGTAACGGCCTTTGCCCCAGTGAATGAGATAAGGTTAACCTCAGCAAGGTATCGGGGCTCCAAACAGGAGAAAAACATTTCAGCTTTGTTTCAAACAGCAGCTGCTGATGTTGCGAAGCATCGAGCTCCTAAACACTGGTACTAACAGTCGAGGCACAGCACAGAGCATTCTCACTCAATTTTATTATTATAACTTTAGAAGAAGACATCCTTCTGTTGGAGTTTAAACTTATCTTCTTACTCAGACAGCTTGCAGATACTTTGGGCTGTAGCTACTTCCCAAACAATTCATCAGGTTGGGGTGATGTCTTCATCAGCAGCCTCACACCTAATAGCAATAATCACTTATGCATCAGAGGCAAGTTGCATGGTGAGATATGCACCTCCACAACAGATTCTTGGCTGATACCAGCCGCTGGTGAGGACGGGTGGGAAGAGCAGACAGGAAAAAGAGGACAGGCTATGGAGACTGCCAGAAAATGCAGACAGCTTGGGGAAGAAGGTGGGGGGACACCACAAGGGAGAGGGACTGAGCAGTTACTTCTCAAGCACAGGTTTGGGGCCAGAGTATGAAACAGTCCTAGGTATTCAGAGTCATCACTTAAGCATCTCTTTAGGAGAGCACTTTCCAAGTTCTGCTTCATCTCTTACATGGCAAGTCAGCTACCTGGAACCACATCTCCAAATCCCTTACTATAAGGCAAGCCCAGTTACAAAACTGAGAAGAATAAAAAACCTGAACTACTCCCTCAGATCTCCTCTCTACCCAGCCACATTCCATTAGCTCCCAGCCTTTTATCACAACACAACTTGAACAAGAAGTATTATCGCAGGTTTAGCCAGAATCACACTAAGCAGCATGCGTAGAAGTACATCAGTCTTCCTAGACTGGTATTTCCCATATTCTCTCTTACACCCTTCCAATATTAAACTGAACATTAATATAACACCTCTATCCAAAAAGAAAACCACTCTACAATTTTCACTCAAACCACAACCACAATGAAACGCAGACTCCAAGGTGAAATGTTTGGATTCTTTAAACTGCAAACTGTGGAACAACCTTCAAAGCGCAAAACAACGGTGTCAAACTGTTGACAAAGGCAAGTGTAGGCAGACAGGATGCCACAAGTCCAGCTGAAGATGCTGCCATACCACAAGTAAAAAATACCGTTCCTCCAAGTTCTCTAGGCACTTCAAAACCTTAAGGGGTAAAGACCGATTTCCTGTGTACAGGCTCTGCATCCACTGCACTTGCAGAATACCACTTGCCTCGAAAAGAGAGCCGGCACTTCATGAATTACTAACAGTAAATCCTGCAGTGGCTCTCATCCAGACACGGATGCAGATCCCTCATCCTGCTTCGCTTTCACTGCAATTATATCACCTTGTAAGAGATGACAAAACAGGAAATAACAAAATTCTAGCGGCTAACAACAAGATGCCTATCGTATTTAAGCATAAAATTTCCCCAATATTTTTAATGCATCATAACATGGAAATTGCAAGTCTAATTACAGGGGAGCTCTTCAAAACGTCCAAAGTTCTTGCAATACAGGGTCACAGCAAACAAATACATACCACCACCAAATATACACCACTACCAAATACGTTTGGAGAGTTACAGAAGTAGTTGCAAGGCCACCAACAATACAATTTAGGACCTCACTTGCAAAAAGCATGTTTCTCAGATTATAGAG